AGTGCGGCTTAGCAGTCATTCGATTGCAATCCTGGTGAGATTTTTATCTACTGCAGAGCATTCGTAGCATTCCTAAAGTGATACCGACCATACAGCAATAAAAACATCATGAATTTCGTTCATTCGCAGACGAAGGCAATACAAAATAGATGTCATGAGAGCAAGAAGAAGCATCATGATTACAGGATGTGTTGAATTCAACTCAAGTTGAAGGAGTTGCAGTGGGTAGTCCACTAGGACCGGTCCTAGCTGATATCTTTATGGGAAATCTGGAGAATACAAAACTGCGACAATGCATAAAGGGCACACACTTCTACGGCCGTTACGTGGATGACACATTTGTCATACTGAATGACAACGCACAAGCGCAAGTAATGCTTAGAAAACTCAACTGTTCACATCCAAATATCAAATTCACGGTAGAACACGAATCCGAAGTTTCGTTCCAGTCCCTGCATGTCAAATTGACAAGAAGAGAGGACGGATCTCTCATCAGATCCGTATTTCTCAAGCCGACATGGACGGGACAGTATCTTCATTTTAGAAGTTTCTTTCCGATACAATACAAGCGGTCGTTGGTGCACAGTTTATTCTCTAGAGCCAGGATAATCTGCTCTAGTGAAACGTTGGAGTCTGATGTTCGCTGCATTTCCACGGCACTGCACGAAAATGGATATCCCAAAAAGTTTATTTCAAAGTATGGAGCGGCAACGAATAAATTAAAACAAAGTGACACCACTTCAAAAAAAGCCGTTTTTGTTACTATACCGTTCCAAGGTGATCACAATGATAGGCGGATACAGCGCAGATTGAAACAAGCGATTGAGAGAACATATAACGCCTCCTCGCTCATAGTACTGCACGACACGAAGCGATTGCTCACTTAATCCAATCTAGACAAACCGACTCTTCAGTTACCTCCTCCTGTGTTTATCTATTTCAATGTACTTGCGGTAGCAAGTACGTCGGAAGAACTGAGAGACGATTGTCTACCAGGATAGCGGAGCACGCACCGAAAAACTTGGCGTCAAACGGGTCCAAGCTTCCGTTCAGTTCAATCGCCCGACATATATTAGATTGCCAAGAATCTGACAAGCTTAGGGACGCCTTTCGTGTCTTGATCCGTCAGAAAGGTAGCCGTCTATTACGGTTCGCTGAAGTGGCTACCATTCGACGTTACAAGCCCGATTTGTGTAAACAAACTGACATTGTGGCTAGCCTCGCGCTGCCCTGGTAGGTGTCACTGTCCTCCTCCCTCTCCCCCCACACCCCCGCAGTGATTCCGCTCCCTATCCCAACGTCCAATCCGGCTCCTCTTAGTGACCTTTGGCCTTCGTATTGATTGATTTCTCTTCCCCGAGTGTGTTCACCTTTCCTAAACCTTTCACTCTTTTAATCAAACGTGATCTGAATGTTTGTACACAGCTGATGAGATTACCACGAAATAGTTGAATTCAACACATCCTGTGATCATCATGCTTCTTCTTGCTCTCATAAAATAGATGACCAAGCCTCATTCATTTGCTTGCCACCTCCAGGAGGACCACTATTCTCATATCTGTAGATAATGTATTTAGATGGAAGTGCAACTGAGCCACCAAGGCTTTGCATCGAACAAGCAACTGGAAATCCACGCATCAATTGAAATGAAATAATAATGCTTCCTTCCGTCGCACTTCTGCCGCGTCCAGTCAGGGATTCACGAACTTAGATTGAACGAAAAACATTTACTTCCCAATTGATCTGTTCAGGCTGGTCTTGCAATATGTCTACAAGCTGACGCGCGAAATTCGATCAATTAATCGATCAGCTGATCAGAAAACCATAGTTAGACAGGCAAGCTGAGTCAAGTAGACTCAATTGCAGTCACGCCACAGTAGGGCAAACAAGCGGGCACTAACGGGCACGTGAAATCCTTCAGCGGGGACTAGGGTAATTAGGTAATTGAATCCGCGAGTGCTCTCGTGTGACAGTGCTTATTGGATGCATGTGATCCCGAATCCATTGTGACTATGCGGTCATGGTAGCCAGCATTGACAAACGGAGTTGGCATCAAAATGAGTTCGCGGTCTCGAGAAAATTTGATTGACCTTGAAGGTTTTATGAGGTTTGGAGAATGGCAGCTAGATTATCAGGGAAGATCACTCATTGACCGATGGACAATCCTGAATTTATGATCCTTATTCTCATGGCTTCGTAAACTATTTGGAGAGGCTGTTTTTAGGCTTATACGTGATTATACGGAGAAGAAAACGCTTTCAAAGCACCACCCTTTCTAACCCGAGGAGGCATACGTAGAATCATGAAATTGTTCTATTCGAATCGGTTCAGGCGTTTGACCGCTAATAAAAGCAACAAACATCATAGAGAACACGTGCTATTGCTTTTTGTCACATCCGGGAATGAGATGAGTGAGGTCTGTGGCCTGCAACAAGCTCGCAAAATGGGTTATGCTTGATCGTGTAAATGGAAAATGAAAAACGGTCTGATCAACTGCCCAGTGGCCGAGTGGGTAGCATGCTTGCGTTCTGCCCATGAGGTCCCGGGTTCGATCCGCAGTTGGGTCGATGGATTCGCACTGCTGATGAGATTCAGCCAGGTCGAAACAGCTGTCCAGTGCTTCCTGGCTTTTCAGTTCACACTTCATTTGCTATATACACGACGAATCCACCTTTTGAACTTGAATCAAATCCTCCAATGCTCATATGAAACATCCGGGATTGCTGAATCCCGGTATCTGCCACAGAGTATGTCCGTCCGATTTACTTGTATTTCGCAAGTAATCGAGTCCAATTACTGAAATCAATAAAACGGACATACCCCAAATTGCTATGGCTAGTTTGCTGACAGGTGGTTAATATAATAAAAATAAAACTCATTCACACAAGGAGTTTTCTTCTAATTTCACGCTTCATTTATCTGGATATCTCGACTCTGTCACCTGTTTGAAATATTCGTGGGTTAGCGAAAAAAATTTTTAATTCTCAGTACACACGTGCCAAGCCGAGATTTCGTCAACGGAACAACCGAAATAACAGATAAATAGGTAAGTAAGATTGGTTGATGGAATATGTGATCGTTTTATTGATCGATTGATGGACTGAACAAACTCATCCCAGGATCCTAGACAATAGTCTCTCTCTGTTTATTTCAAGAAAAACAAACTCGAAATTGTAGGCTTTCTCCACAAATGCGAGGTGAAGAACGAAGAGAACAACTTTTGTGTGGTTACTTGGTAACGTCAAGGTTGTGAAATGGATCACTTATAATTCTCATTTCAGGCTCGGAGTAAAAGTAGACCAGAATCCGTTAGTTCAATAGGTTAATATTATTGCCCACAAGGCCCCTAGAGTTGTGATTGCAATGAGATCAGTGATGCTTCATTTTGAGCGGAAATTTCACAAGAAAATCCGTAGCTCGAGTACGCACAAGTCGTAAACCAAGATCTATGGCCTTTACTCTCTGCAATCATTAGATCCTTCTTCCCTTAAGAGTTGGTGTCTTAACCATCATCACCATTACCAAAGATACATCATTAACAAAAAGAGATTTTGGATTGACGAGAGCCAGACAGAACGATTGCGGTTATTTTGTGATATGTACTCATTTAGAGATGTTTTCGAACGATAAGAACCTAAAAGCTACAATATACCAGAGCTTCTGTTAATTTTTCATGAGATCTATCACCTTTATAGAGCCATTGCAATCCAGGCCTATTTTTAGTGCCTACCAAATGTTGTCAATTATTTCAGATTTGTTTCAACTGTTTTCTGGAAGACAGTAAGGAGCTCACAATGGGCTGATGGAAATTAAAACAAGGTGGAGACCATCCTGTTGCCCTCACCCCATAGCATCTTTCTGCATGCGAGTCCGTGGGATTCTTCATGCAGATTCTGCCATCAGCTTATTTCTCGAGTGTCATTAATTGGAATCCGTCAGCTTTCTTCCGGATTCTTTGCATATTGCACGCTATTGAATATGCAAGAACTTGTAGTGTTATTGCAAGATTAGAGATTCAATCCTCGATGAGAGCTGGGGACGGAGTGAAGGGAAATGATCAGGTCAGTCTTGAACTGAACTGTGCTGCTGATCGGTGAGGCACTCTGTTCATCAGCTTGATGCAACCCGTACTGGGCCCCGAAATCGATGTTGGTTCCCCCGCAGTTTTGTATAGCATTACTGTGAACCGCGAAACCCGGTTCTGAATCAATCATCTCAATCTGGCTGGATGGTTAGTGTGTCGGCTGGCTGGCTGGTTGGCTAGTTGTCCGGAGCCTCATTACGCATTCAGCAGTTTTGTGTACCGGGCGAAAGAGGTGCTAGTACTGAGTGTTTGCATGCCCGTGGCCAATGTGCGACCGGACGGTTTCCACTGGTAACGAAACCCCCAAAGACTGCATCTCATCAAATCGGGACCACGGGCAAGTCGGGAATATGACCGTACACAGTTTGAACTGTATATTTGTGTAGGTGTGCCCCGAATGAGACTGACTGATCAAGCCACTTATCGAGTACCGACTGAGGAAAGAGACATATAGGAAGGTGAACTGTTGCAGCACCCATCATCATCATCATCATCATCATCATCATTTCCACCTCCTCGACATTCACTATTCCCCACACACACACACACACACACACACACACACACGCATACCCATGTGTATATCTTCCAAAATCCTACTAACTCTTCCCACATCGGTATAAGTTACTACATCCTACTCACAGTGCCTAACCCTCTCACCCTCACAAACCTCAGCGGTATCTAATTTGTGTGCAAGAAGACGATGTCATTTAGCACACATACACACACACTGGTTGACTTCGTATCAGTATTGGTGTGTTCGAATGGGTGTGCATGAGTGTGTGCGTGCGTGTGAGAGAGAGTGAACGAGAGACCGAATACCATAGAAGGGCTACAATCAGTGAGACTGGGTAACTGGATCGCGAACGAAGACCGAATCAGGGATATCCATGCATGTGATATATTCCGGCTGTGGATGCAGGCCGATATACCGCGAAGGATGCCTAGGCGTGCTCTTGTTCATGCAGATACGCAAATGCGAATGGCACATACTGGTCACGAGATGGTTGCCCCCTCCNCCACCACCCTAAACTACGGGACAGCAAATAAGGAACGGGAACACGGCATCGGGTGCAAGTGTTCCCGAACTCCTGGATCGAATACTCGGTGCAGCAGGGTCCGTGGTCTATTCTCGTAGTCATGACAATGTACGGACACACGTATCTCATCTCAGACCTCGATTTGTCAGAATCCTGAGGCTGCTCCCCGGGACAAGACTCAGTATGCAGTAGTAACCATCACAAACATAAAACGCATACATATACACGCGGAATAGCTGGAACGACAAGGGAAAGGTACAAAAGTACAATACATTGCACGTCTCATTTTCACCCATTGTGTTGCGCACCGCCATGCTGTCCTCACCAACTTGGACTCCAGTAGGACAACTCAATGAATTGTCCGAAATCTCTGTATCCAGTTCAGGGGAAAACCAAGCGTAAGTTCTGTCCAGTTACTTTGGTCTACCTGTCCATACTGAGTGATATGGGTCCGCCTGTATTTAATTTCTTAAATTTTCCTCACCAATGTACTTAAATTGTTGTGCTGTCGGGATCGAAAATGTACAAAACAGTGACACAAATCAATCCCAGATCTCAGCGATCTATCTGCCAGTCAACCGGATCACATCATCATTCGATGGGTCATACATGTGACGGTGATCGCGAACAACATCTCTCTCTCTATTCTGTTTCTAAAATATGATTATGATGATCAAAACGGACTGGCCGATCCATTGCTTTGGATTTCGGTCTTCCGCTTCCGTTGTTCATACACACTCACTATGCCGGTCAGTGTAACCATCTGTAGTCTGTTCTTCTCATGCACATGCGATGAGACACGTTTTCTAGGAGAATCACGTCATGCTCTGTCCTCAAATGACAATCAGGTGTCATAAGGTTTGCAAAAAGTGAACTGACATTTTCCAACTGAGTTCTAACTCGATTTTCATCGATTAGATGCGGTAATGGTGTCAACCTTTAGGAGGGATGCTCAAATATCTGATGATGCTGACTGCATCAATCAAAGCTCCAAGTAATTCAACACTTAAAAAGGCATACAAAAATATGGAAATGCGCAGTTCGTACTCACAAGACGCTATCGATGAAATACTGATTGCTTTATCGGGGGAATTGGACCCCAGTAACTTGATCATTCACTCTTAATCACGGTAGACAGTACCAAAACCTATCACCAACTGGTCAGAGTATATAGGTCATGTATTGGTTAGTAACCTTTATCATTAGTTTCATCAAAACATAAGAAAGACAAATGTCGTGAGATGTTAACATTTCGTTTAATCTTCCCAGTCGCTGACTTAAAACAAACAGGCACATATATAGCACATGAGATTAATCAACTATGGTGAACGAACGTTTACAAGCATACAAAGATTACTAAATTTAGAAGTAGAAGGTCAACTCATCAGCTCTACTTATTGTGTAGCCTAACCAACACTCAAAGTCATGCTAGTGACGACTTTCCGGATGTAGTCTTGTGGCACTGCTTGTTCAAACCTTCTCTTGGGACTCTTTTAGTGTGCAATATTCTTTGATCTGCTGTTTATGAGGTTCCAAACGTCCTCGATCATATTGAGATTCGACTAGCAGACTGGTCACGACAAAGAGATGATTCCTTGGTATAATTTATACAGGAGAGTAAACTGACCTGACTTTGTTATCATGCAAAATTCATGTTCTCATATTGAGGACAACAGAATATGGCCCAGAACCGGACAGTAGAAGTTCCCTGTGTCATTAAAATACAACCTTATTTCTTAAAGTAATGTAACCTCCCCCCCCCATTCAGGCACCTGCATGGAACCCCCATCATCATCAACCATGAGTATCATCATACGGGATCTCATCGCTTTTAGTCCCACAAGATGAACTTAGCATTCTCCGTGTACATCACTGCCACGGACGCTCCTCAGATTCCATCACGTTGGTCACTGAAGTTCAGGTTTTCTGTGGGCGCTTGTAATACGTGATGAGCTTGCTTAAGCACTTGGCTTTCAAACCGCGCTGATTCAGGCGATCAGTGAGTGAGAGAACCATGTCATGGCTTGGGTAGCATTAACCCAGAAGAGATATGATTGATCATCACCTTTCTCAGTATAATCCCGGTCCACTTTGTGGTTCTCTTTTATCACCAACCACTGCTTTACTGTCGTTGATATTCACATTTATTCTCATTCAGCATCTCACAGGTTTCACATCCCCATTAAAGTTATTCATAATCATTCACTTTGGCTCTCCACGGTCCCATGCACTGTCGAAATCCACCGGCTCCAGCCATGCCTAAACTCAGTATGATATGTTTACGTGGTCAGAAGATTGTGTGACACCATCTCACGTTCTGATCATTGTTTTATTGATAACCCGCATTGCTAACTTGTCATCTGATTGGTGGTAGTGGCCTCATAAACTCACTTTACTGGGTGGAGTCACAATTGATGCATCTCACGGCAAATTCACCGGACGTGGATATTTCTATATACGGCAGTGTATCCAACGCTCACTTTCTTGTACAAGTATGCAAATGAATTCGATTTCCGGACCAAAAATACTTCAAGAAATTTTGTCAAATGCAGTCTCATTCGTTCCTTCCTTATGAGCTCACGACTGAAGTGAAGAAGGCACTTTCAACTAATTTTTTGTTTGTCTAGAGTTAGATCACTTAGGTTGAACGAATGTTTCTTTGTTTTTTTGTTAAAAGAGACAAAATCGTTGAGAAAAGAGTAACTACGCTCGCTAGTCATTCACAACGTACACACACACACACACACACTACAGGGTATGAGCATATGGATCTGTTGATTGCCGAAACATAGACCATGCTGCATCGAGCCAGAGTGACATGAATTGAACATGACCCTTCTTAGTTGGGTGGAAATCTGGTCACCGCTATCGCTCATTTGAATCATATAGTCGTTGTGGATATTCGGTGAATCTCTTCCAGCAGCCGACAACCCTCGAGCATAATCCACATGAAGATTGGGTTCAGTGTGGGAGAGGGAAGAGGTTCCAACAGAATGGTGTAAATCGGTGATCATACCGCTTGGCAAGAAAGGTGACAGATCCTCTTGCGAAAAACACAGAGGAATTAGTTTAATCAACAACATCTGTGAACTTCTTGCTGCTCCGTCGATTGTCTGCCGCACGTGAACGGTGCACGCGTGAGAACCAGGCTGGTTTTAGACCTGGTCGAGGTTGTATCGACCACATCTCCACTCTTCCTCAAATTCTAGAACACAGAAACTCCTTTCGCAGATCCATCTCGTCTATCTTCCTCGATATGAAGGCATGTTTTACGCACGTCACCAAATAGGTTGCCACGGCGAACGATGTTTGCCGAGGCAGGTAGCGGTTGGAAAAGGGTCAAGGGTGGTCAAACGAAGACCTAGGATGAGGGTGTGAAAATTCTAACCAGGAGACTAGGTCACATAGGTCCCGTTAGCCTCCCTGGCTGGGAACCTCGGGATGATTGTGACCGATGGTTAGATACACTGGGTGATATGGCTGGATGTCGCTAACAGTGGCGCTCGTGCATCCACCCATTATTCCCCTAACATCATTCTATACGAACTCTCCACCTTCCACTTGAATTTACTTTCAACATTCCAAGCTTCTTTCGGCTCTTTTATCCAAATGGGGCACCAAAAGACAGCAACCAAAACCGGCGCACGAAAGTGCAGGGTTAATGGTTGTAAAAACTGAACTGAACTGACTGGGCGCACCATGAAGCGGATATTGTTGCGAGGTAGCATTTTGCGCACAAACCATTTTGCACAGCCTGATCAAGCATTGAACAACTGCAAATGTGCTTGGAGCGGAATTATTTTCACGTCTCTGGTCAACCAGTTAGACTTAAATTCGAAAGGCAAATATATGTAGTCACTGGTTTAATGAAGACTCTGTGGCTAACATTGGCTTATCATTCAGAACCTTATAACTATTAATATAATTATTATTTTATCCTTAATTATGCTAATAAGCGTCTTTTTTCAATCCGTGTGTTTCACTTCAATCAACCGGTTTTCCGTTCCGATAGATGTAATAGCTATTGATTCATTTATTTTGCAAATAATCGCCTCTTTTCAATTTGCTTTCGAGGAACTGTACTTCTCAAGCCGATTCGCATTTGACTGAGCATAGACTGTTTGTTTGTTAAATTGATGGCACCGGAAATCCCAAAGCAATGAAAACCTCAGTTGTTTGACTGATCAAAAATTCCATGGTTTCTGATCTTGTTTTGTGTCATGCATTTGTTTGTTTTTCTCACAGAAATTCACGAGTTCAGGATGAATCCATTCGATTTGTTTCAGGCAATAAACACTGTGTATTGTGCTTGTGGTCTTGCGATTCACTCCTTAGAAATTTATTGCCTTTGGTATTCAGATTCTCACATAGAGATCATCGTTTTTCCGCCTTTGCGAAAGGGGAACAAACAAGCGTTGATACAGTCAGTAGCCACAATTTGACTCGATCTGGATTGTGTTTCAGAAGGAGCACTTCGTGGTGATATCCTATCGGGTAATAACATAACGCCTAACGGAACTGCCTGTCTCTCTCAGGACTTTGTTCTTCGGAGCTCTTTCAGTAGGAGAAGTTAGATTCTGATTTGGGGGCTAGCCGGTGCTTACCCAATAAATATTTTCGTGGTTATCTTTAACACGTTAAATATTAGAAATGCCCGTAAGGTCGAACTATGCTATCATAGAGCGCGACGGAGGAAGTGGTAGACTGTCACGTCGTTCTACCATATCGATAAATGGNAAATGGGGGGGGAGGCAAGTTTGCGGGGGCACTACCAGGATGTGGTGGGTTTCAGGCTGGTCACCTGACCTTGTTTAAAAGCCGCATGAGCCCACTGACAGTATCTTAATAAAGGTCAAT